TTAAATGGGGCATAACTGTCAAAATAGGTACAGTCTGAAACAAAACATTCTAAGCAAAACATTCATTTTTATCACACAAATTTTCCCCAGCAATGACAATTGTAGTTTCTCCCATCTTCCATGCATTTTTCATTCTATGTCTTAACCTAGTTATTTTGAAAAAAACATATAATTCACATTTGTCATAGTGATATCCAGAAATTTTACTTTCTTCTCAATCTTAAAACCTGTTTTATTTTTATTTATTTGATCTTTTATTTTCATGTTTTTGTTAACATCTTTGTCTTTTGTCTGTTGATTTTAAAACCTGCTAATGCACCAAATTGTTTTAGCTTTCTCATGTTTCAGTTCCCTTTAAAGCACAGGTATCAAACTCACGTCACATAACGTATTGCAACGTATTGCAACTTTTTCCCCATTGCCGGCAATAGGGTGGGCGCGGTTTTGGCATGACGCATCTGGTCCGCAGACTGGCAGTTTGACACCCATGCTTTAAAGGATCATTAAAAATCAACACCCGCCATGAGCTTTGTTTCTTTCTGTATGTTATAAGGCTTTATTAGATTTCCATTAATAATTATTTGTGCTTTCTGAGAAGTATTAATCAATCTTGCCTATTTTATAAAGTTTTCTGCAAAGTTCGTATCTCCCAAACTTTGAGCAAGTAGCCCAGTTCAAAATGTCAAAGGCCTGAATATAAGAAAATCAATGCAACTTGTTTTTCATTATGTTGCTCTAAATATTTCAAAATATCCAACACAGTTCTAATATTGTCTTTATTATCTTTTAGGTTTTTTAAAAAAAAAACAACCACAATATGCTGTAATTTCCTATCCTTTTGAAGAGGGACATGTTGAGCTATAATATAAACCTTAAAAACAGGCTTTACATTGTTTTTAAAGCATATACACACACCCTATAAGCTCCCAAATGCCCCCCCTCTAAAAACCCTCTTTGAATATCATGGTCCAACCAGTCAGTATCATTCTCCTGCCCACTGAGACCTTCACTTATGCAAAAGAAGCATCACATGCTGTACTCAGCTTCCAAAGCATGCCCACCCTCTGCTGGTGAGTGAGAGCTCATGTGATTGCCCAAATGAGAGAGAAATGAAATCCTTATCACAGCAGTTTCTCTTTCATTCTGACCATTGTCTGTCTTCTTGCTTAGCAGCCAAAACATAACAATGTTTGTATGGTATTATTTAATTACATAAAAATTAAAGCTTACAGTAAGCTTCAAAACTGGAAGAGTAACAATTGTGCAATCAGCTGTCATAAGAAGAGCTTATAATGAGCAATCACTGCCGTAAGGGTGTGTCTTTGCTTTGTCTTTCCTATCTGGCTATCAAGGCAGAACTGAAAGAGGAAAAGAAATCCAGAATCCCATTAATTATGACTATACTTATAGTAATAATTCTGCCACATACTGTATTATGTACTGCTTTTGCCATTCTCTCAACGGTCCCATGAGAAGGAATGCAAAGTAGCCTTGTTATTAAAAAAAATGTTGAAATCCTTGTAATACATTATACAGATTATTATTTTGTGACCTGTGTATTGCCCCCAAAATAGATTTTAGAATCTTTGTATGAACAACTGTTATTAATGGAAATGATACCATCTGACTTTTTATCATTTTATTGACTAGGAAATGAAAATTTTCATTGAATTCACTATGTTCACGCATTACTTACAGCAGTGGTTCTCAACATTTTTAATGCCGCGACCCCCAACCGGTCGTAAATCGAGGACTACTCAACCGGTCGTAAGTCGAGGACTACTCAACTGGTGCAGCACCATTTGCAGAATGGGACTTTTGGCGGGCTCAGCAGGGCAGAGACAGCTTGGACAATTCCTATTGGCTTTTGAAAACCAATAGAATTAGACTCTATTCAATAACAATTGGTTATTGCCATTTTGATTTTGAAAGAATCCAGTGTATTCCTAATTGGGCTGTTTATTATCTTTCTGCTAAAAATGGCCTGCCCTTACTGCAAACAAAACCTTTATAACCTCTGTCCAAGGAGGAGGCAGCTTTTATGAGAAACTGTTCAGTGCCATTATAAGTATTTTTCTGTAGAATGTGAGAAAAAGTCTGCTTTTGAGTAACTGCTTACAATGCTAACAGTTCTGTCACGTTTAAAGAATTTACTCATTTTAATCTTGATTTCTAAAAATATTATTTAATGTGTTTGAACAGCCTCATACTTTCTATTCTAAAACCTCACAGCTATAAAGATTTTTATCATCTCTTTTTAATAGTATCTTTCCATAAATAGTTCTATTGATACTGAAAAAGTACTAGTGTTTAATTTATATAGACATGTTTTTTTGTTCTCCTACAGAACAGGTGTTTCTGGTTATTTTGTCATGCTAGTAATCTGTCACATGGTGGTATGATATTTTACTAGCTGCCAATAACACAGGCTTGCATAAGTCTGTTGACTACAAATCTGATATTTGGTGTTCTTTGAGGGTTGTACTAATAGTACTTTAAATAAAAGGGCCTCTTCCACTGATAACAGCCACATTAACATCATTAGTTTTCACATGGTGATGCTTTATCCAAACAATTACAAAGCAACAGTATTTGAGTGCTTATTATGCTTCTGAATTTAAAAGATATTTGCACTAATAGCCCAAATGGCTTGAACATATGTTTTGATTATAACTAGTGATACAGAAAACTATTTTCTAAAAGAAATTTTTTTCCAATGTTTTCTGTATGAAACTTTCTAATTCGCATCACTAGTGGTGCTCATTTTCTTATGCAAATTAGACCAAGTTTCATAAGAAATGAAATTTTGAAATATTTTTCGATACAAAATGAATTTTTGGTTATGAATTTTAAACTGCACTTTGAAATCACATTATCCTCGTATTGTAATTGCAGTTTTCATAATAATCGTGCAGAGTTAATTTAACTTTCCTGATTAGAGAAAAGCAAAATACAACAGTATTTCTTTTCCAAAAAAAACATCCCCAGCAGTCCTGTGATGTATTTTCTTTAAATTTTCTGCCTAGTCTGAGGTCATGTCCTCCGAAATTGAAAAAGAGGAGCATGATATGTCTCCACTTTTTGCTGATATGACATGCACAGAACACACCCTTTTCTATGTAGTGACAACTCCCAGTACTTCAGGAAATCTAATTGGCTTAGCAGAGAGGCGGTGCCCTATAAATATACCTCTTTTGCTTTTCAAAACCACTTGCAGAAAAGACGGTAAGCTGGTTATCTGGCATCATCTGTTTTACATAGGGAGTGGGAAAGTTTGCAGCTTTTTTTTTTTTTTCACTGAATTGAAAGCAGATTTTTTTCTATCTCTAATAATGTAAAGTGAGACTGAAAAAAAATGTGTCTAGTAGAGTTTTGATCATTTTCCTGAAACAATTTAGGCTTGGTTCTTTTATTGATTTGTAAGACACTGTATTAATATTAAAGTTAGTAAGCGTTTTGTTCATTTTAGGGGGATATTCTAAACTTGATGAATTCTGACCAAAATTATAATTTAATGTTAAAAGGTGGTTGGTTGTGGGTTTTTTCATTTAAATTTTTTTTATTTTTCCTGTCAATTGTAAGTCATCCTGTGAACTGCTGTAGAGTCTCTAAATTGAATGACTGTGATTATGATTATTAGCCTTTCTAATATTTGAAGTGTAAAATAGTTTCTTGAGGGTTATTTTGTTCATTTGCAAAGAATGAAGAAAAATACTATAATTTCATCAATAACGAGTTTATAAATTAACTTCTTAACATTTATGTTAGCTTGACAGCACAACAAATGGCTAGGACATCGTTAATGGACTGATTCTAAAGAGATATCATGTGGCATAGTTAGTCACTAAAACTGAATAATGAAATATTCTGTTTTTAGACTTTACTCATAGTGAAACCAAAACTAAACTGCTAAAGCTGTAATTTGGCTGTGAGCTGAATAGCAGGATATAATTTTGGTTTGTGGTTTCTGAAAGATTATGCATTTTTATAGCATCTCTCCATTTCAAGGAGGGGAAATACTGAACTGGAGATTATATGAATTTAATGGGTTGTATGTATGTATGTATGTATGTATGTATGTAATTTGAACAGATGAAACACTTTCACTCAAGTTATGTGAATATTTGGCAGCCTTAATAGGATGGCTATAATGTATGGAAATTATCTATGGAACATGCTACATTTTTCTGTATTGAATGCTGTTCTGTAGAAATAATTATCATTGCAGATGATTTTAGCAAATAATCAGAATACAGTTATATATACCATAATATGGCTGGGAACTGGAAGTATTATCTTTGTTGAATCAATCATACTTGGGTAATCCACTGTAAGCTTTGGCCATATAGTGGGGTTGATAATCAAGGGGCTCAAGGTCTGTGGATTGCTCATCTCTAATCTGCAATAGCCTTTCCAAATCTGTTGTTTTTCAGATGTGTTGTGAGGGCAATTCTACCATCCCCAGTCAAATCAGCAGTGGCTGTCTAATTAAACATTAAGGGAATTATTAGTGCATGTGTTTAAACAGCTTCAAATTGAGAAGGATTAATCTAACATCAAAAATAGGCAATCTTTTGTGGCAAGGCATATCTGAAGTTTGGGAAATGTGAGGTTGACACATATAAAATAACAAGAGTGGTATGGCAACTTATAACCTTCCCATTTATTAGGAGAACTAGCTTCTAAATATCCTCAAATATTATCCTGTTGAGAACTTGGTGAATCCTAAAGATATTGCAGATAATAAATAGGTTTTTAGATGCCAGTTTATATTTGGAGTATGCCAACATCCCATTTATTTTATTATATAATTAACAATCAGGAGGTACAGGGCATTTGGTAGTATAAAAGTAGATGGGGGAAGAGCATTTTATAGATTAAGGCTGACAGAACTGTTGTTTCTATCCCTTTTATTGGTAACTTGCCAGAACTTCAAACTGGCCACTTTGCAGTGATAAAACAACTACCGTAGTCAATGACTTTCTTTTTTTCTTTTCCAGCACAGTTGAAAAATGCCCACCATCAGGAATTTGACTTGTGCTGTTAAATATCTGTTGAACAAACCTGGCTGTGGTTGTCAGGTTGCTCTTGTGCCAGCTAGATGTCTTAGCATTTCACCCCGGCAAGTGCCATCAGATGCCAGCTTTCATTCAGTATGTTTTTCAGAAACTGATCATCCACGGGTGTTAATTACAGGTCAGTCAAATTTTAGATACTTCTTTGAAATTGGTTAATATGAGATGTTTTGATTTACATTTTTACTAATTTTATCTGATCATGTGAATTGATATTCATTTGATTTCTATTTAAACACGTTTTGTGTGGGTTGGAGCCCAAATTTTGTTATGACATGGTTCAACTCTTCTTAATCCAGGCTATAGCAATTCCATCATCAAAGAACAATAGATTTGTTCCCAAAGCAATTCCAGATAACAATAGGGCTTTGGAAAAAAATAATCTACTTTCTATCTGCATGGCACATAGCCAGAGACCTAGAAGATAAGGGTGCTTGTTTTTTATAACGTGGTTACTACTCTTATCACTCACAATTTACAGCCCCCATAGCAAGGCTTTCACATATGTTTAAAATAATCTCCTTCAAGCTGCCTTTCCATAACTTTCTGTACACTTGACATTGTATTCTGGGTTTGTTCCATTTACTGGAATCCTTATATCTTCTTTCCCAATTCTGATGCTGTTCAAATATTTTGGACTTCAGTTTCCATCAGCCCAAGCTAATATATGATAAGTTCTATATGTCTATAGAACTAAATGTTGCATCATAGTATAGACAGATGACCTTGGTAGGCATCTTATGCATAAAAAAGTAATTCAATTCAGCCATTTTCAGTAATTTACATCTGTAAAAGTGCCACGGTCTTATCAGTCGATTAAATTTTTCTGTGAACTTTTCTAGGAACATCAACATATCCTGCTCTTGGATAGTCCTTATATATGAAAGGTTAAAAAAAAAGATTTCCAACTATAATTTACATGCATTATACACTTGCTTTTTAGGGGGACTAGGCCAGCTTGGAGTAGGACTTGCCAAACTGTTAAGGTAAGCTATAACCTTCATTGCTTCTGTTAACAATGAGGACTCTGTTATCTTTTTTTAAGGTTATAAGTCTTCCTGTATTTTAATGTTTTCTTGCATCTATGATATGCAGCTACAGATAAACCATTGCTTTTCTAATATATTATCTTGACCTTATTTTGGGGGGAAGAGAGGGGTAGAAGGAGAAAGTAATATAATAGGTTTAGTATAAAAAATGGTAAGTGAAAATGTGCCTAGTTAATTATGCTTATTTTGGAGAGCAATAGGGTGGTAGTTGGAAACATCAGTATTAAAGAGTGCAGGAAATATGGATTAAAAAGTGCATCTCATATATCAAAATAGATTTTGCTCTAAAAGCTGTGTTCAAAATGAAAATGAAACATTAATTATGGTGTCTTTTCCAGAAAACGCTTTGGAAAGAACAACGTGATTTTGTCAGATATTAGAAAGCCCCCTGATAGTGTCTTCTATAGTGGTAAGTACTATATGAAACAGAGAGAAATATTTAATGATTATATTCTAGGAGTTGTAGGGTTTTTTTAACTAGGACATTTTCTTTTAGTTAAACCTTGGGTTTTTGAATTAATCCTTACAATCATCCTTGAAGTATATGATTCAAACTTGTAAGTTTCTCCACAGTTCCTCCTCTTTCAGGCAGTGAATGTTGCCCGCAGTGAAAGATGTTTGTGATAATCCAGCTATAAGAAATGAGAACAGCAAATGTAATGTTATATGCATTGTTTAATTTGCTTTGTGCAGAAGAAAATCAATATCATAGAGTACGCTTATAGCTTGGAGGCATTAGAGCGTGAAGAGACACAATTGAATCATTGTAATATTGTTTTTGTCACTAGATTCTTCCAGTTTTTCAGAAACCTTGTAGAAATTGATGGGAGATTAGTGTGTATGTCAGAGAAAATATATTTAATTTGACCTAAGCTAATTTGATTGTCGCTAACTCATTGCCTGAGTTTTAAATATGACAAAGGATATGTAAAATAAAATGTTGTGGCATTCCACATATGCAGGAAATACATATTTAAAGCAGTGTTTTAATTGCTGTGTCAACTTCAATTTTGGCCAACCCAGGTCATGCCTCCTTTGCTATACTGACTGAAATGAGCTATCTGCCCCATGCGCTATATGCTCTATAAAATGATGTGCTGTGCCAGTTTTTAAAATATGTGTCTGAAATTCTGTTTAAAGACAATATAAATGGTCTGTCATAGTAAAATTCTCCAAGAAGCAAAGAAGTTAAACTAACAATTGTTCTTTGAAACAAGCATAATTGTTATATTAACTAAAATCTGTGTTTCTAAACTCACTCTCATACTGTCTTGATGCATAGCTTTTTCAGAGGGTCTTCTTTTGACTGTATATATTAAGTGCCTTGTTATGATCTTGGGTAAAATAGAAATTCATAGGTTTTCAAACTTGTATATGTCCTAGATAAAATGAAATTCATTCCAAATATATCAAAGCTCTGCTGCAACTAAAATGTGTTCATTCTGTAGTGACTTTGTATGGATAACCCATAGTATGTGGACACCCACATCATGCACTTGCATATCCTACAGTACATATTTGTACATGCTAATGTATTGCAAATACAATATTCATAAAGAACATGGAATTAGAAATTCTTGAAATTTCTTCAAATACCTTCTTTAACTGAAAATGTCATTGACTCTATTTACAAGCTGTTGACATCTTCAGCACAGCATGGATTATTTTAAACCTTCTTTTTATACTTAGGTCCTTTTATCTACTCTGATATTTTGGATTATAAGAATCTTCGTGAGATAGTGGTAAACAACAGAATTACTTGGCTATTCCATTACAGTGCTTTGCTCAGTGCAGTTGGAGAAGCTAATGTCCCTTTGGCAAGATCTGTGAATATTACTGGTATGTCTTAACACATTTAGTGTTATTTGTTTAGGTATACCTACCACACTACAGAAGTCTTGATTTTCTTTTTTTCTTTTTTTGGTTTGGGCTTAAAAACTCTTGTTTGCTATTCCCAGGACTGCACAACATTCTTGATATAGCTGCCGAGCATGGTTTGCGTCTCTTTGTTCCTAGTACAATTGGTGCCTTTGGACCAACTTCTCCTAGGAATCCAACCCCTGATCTCTGCATCCAAAGGCCAAGGACAATCTATGGAGTTTCCAAGGTTCATGCTGAACTTATGGGAGAGGTAATGATAAGCATTTTGATGTAAGAATGCCTTGTTCTTTCACATTCAAGTATATAATATAAAATGCTATAAAAGCCTGTAGCTGAATTTTTCTTTCATCTTTAATCTTATAATTGGTTTTTTACTTTTCTTAAACAATTGAAATATTAGCCTAATACTATAACTTAAATAAATATTGAATATTTATTATGGCTTGTTATTTTGCTTTTGCACTGATATTCTCTTAACTGTAACCTTTGCAGATATGTTTCAGTTACAAGAGAAGTCAAATAGCAACACACACTTGAAAATTAATAGGCTTTCTAAGAAGTATGCTTATATTAACTACAGTGTCAAAACTATAGTCCATTGAGCAAAACTGATAAATACTGAAGAACAATTTGTTTTTCCAAGATTGTTGATCATTGGATTGTGTCCAGATTCAAGTGGCTAACAGCCAGCATACTATATAAGATGAGAATTGCTGGGTTTCTTACATCTGGACATAATCCATAAATGTTTGGCAAATATATGTCAATGATACCCTATTGAAGTTTCAGGCTATGAGGCTTCCGTTACATTAGACAGAAGACAGGTTGGTAGCTAAATTCATTTTAGATACTTCAATTTTTGTTGCCATCTTAAATAACTGAATTAAACATTCAGCACACATGAACCCAGCTAAAATATGCATCAGCATTTCTGTAACAAGATATGTATTTTAGAAATGGAAGGAAAATATTCTGTATTTTGTATTAATATATTTTTACTATAATATTATTTTACTATGATCATTTTGAGGCCAGTTTGGTGTCATGGTTAAAGGCATCAAGCTAGAAACTAGGGGACGATAAGATCTAGTCCTGTCTTAGGCACAAAGCCCGTTGGGTGACCCTGAGCCAGTCCCTCTCTAGTCCCTAGGAAGAAGAAACCAGGCTAGCCACAAATGTTGCCAAGAAAACCTCAGAGACATTAACCAGTTCATTTTCTTAAATAAAACCCATATGCCACAATTCTACTATATTTCAATTAGCTTTTTCTAGATTCAGTTTTAACTGCTACATGTATGCTCCCATCAATGAAAATCAAGACCTTTTTTTATTAAGGTCTTGGATCCCATGGAAACTAATACAGGTTTTCTGAAGAAATGTGCAATTCATATGACCACAAATGGTTCCATGGAAATTAACTTCAGTGGGGAACAGGTTTTTCTGGTGCTTTTGGGTACTAAAGATTTACATCAAGTAGGCTTTAATGTGAGCTGAGCTGTTCACTATATGATTATTATTTACAGTGAATGTTGTCTCTAGAAACATACTGTTTTATATTAACAAACATCCTCACCAATATAGTACATAAAGCTTTGATTTGCAACAAGTAACTAGATCTGTCTTGGCATTGATCACAATTAATGGTGCATCTCATTTCTTTTTCTTTTCCCCTTTTAATTTTGTATGTTAGTACTATCATTATAGGTATGGACTAGATTTCCGGTGTTTAAGATATCCTGGCATTATCTCAGCAGATTCCCAGCCTGGTGGAGGAACAACTGGTAAGGAAGCTGATGCAGTCTAATCTTTTATTTTTATATTAACTGGGGAGTAATTTAGCCAATGAAATATAAAGGCAGAACCACAAGAAAAGTAAGGAGTTCTGCTTATGCTTACAATTGTATATTTTTCATGCAAGAGCCATTCTCTTGCTAAGAGCTCCTTAGGCCCTCTAGAGAAACTAGAGGGATGGAAGCAAAAAAAACATAGACTGAAGAAGGATTACTGGGTGCTTCCCTGATTATTGCCCTGCCCTTTTTCTCCCTCTGATGGCTACCTTTTATTCTTCATTTCTGAACTCTTGGAAATGAAAACTTGCTGGTAGAAACTACCAGGTTTCTCAGATTTTGGTAAGGAATCTATTCTAGACCAGGGTCTAAAAGATAGCTTTTCCTTAACTTAACATTTATGCATTTTTCTTTTAAATCTACATGAATAATATAAATAAATAAATGTAGTTTGGCTCTAGACTCTAAAAGGTACATGAAACATTCACCTCTATTTTAATTAATACAGTTCCTGTTAAACTTTCTATGTTTTTCATATTAATTTACTCTTCTAAGCATCCTTTCATTTTACCTTTTGTTGGCATATATTGATAGCCTGCTTTTTTATATGTAACTGGAGCTTCAACTAGTGGTATATCATCTGAACCAGGCATACTGTCATATTTTTTTTCTACCAGATTATGCAGTCCAAATTTTCCACGATGCTCTCAAGACTGGAAAGTTCCAGTGTAATCTTAAACCAGACACCCGCTTGCCAATGATGTATATCGATGACTGTCTTAGAGCTTCTTTGGAGATCATGGAAGCACCTGCTGAGCAGCTGAGCATGAGGACTTACAACATCAATGCCATGAGTTTTTCACCTGAGGAGCTGGTTCAAGAGGTCCAGAAGCATATTCCAGAACTTGAAGTTGCCTACAATGTAGATCCTGTTAGACAAGCCATTGGTTAGTACCTGGCTTTGGCCTTTTACAATGCTGTATGAAGCAATGAATGACAATGGGCTAGGTCAATTTTGTTCTTTCAAACTTGTTGACAGATTTTTTTGACAAAGTGTACAAGAATGGAATTCCATTGCTTAGGGCTAGCAAAGACTTTAAGCTGCTTAATAACACCAGATGAACCTCACATTTATTTTAAAAAAATGAATCCCAAGCTGCAACAGTTCAGCTTGTCCTTTTATACATTTTCAGGAATCCATATAAGATATAAGCTCAGTATCTGTGCCAAAGTGTGCATTGAAACCTTAGCTGGATTTTCTATCTGATAAAGGGGTGACTTTCAGATGGGATTGTAATGGCTGGGTTTTAAAAGCTCTTAAATATGTATGCAGATACCTTAAAGAATATATTTTATCTCCAGTGAGAAAGAAATCTGTGAAGCATAAGAAGCTGCTTTTTCTACACTGTGTTTTAGAAAAGAGTTTTAGCATCCTCTCTCTTCAACTGTTTTCTTTGTTTGAAAATTGCTGTTTTCTAAACTCCCTAGATGAGAAAAAGTGGGAAATTCTTGGGTTGGACTTTCAAAATCCCTTGCTTTTGATTTAATATATATGTTTTTCTTTATTTTTGTTGAAGCTGATAGTTGGCCAATGGTTTTTGATGACAACAATGCTCGCCAAGATTGGGGATGGAAACATGATTATGATCTTCCAGACCTGGTGACCACTATGTTCAACTTCCTTAGCTCTGTCCGTTCCGTTTCCAGAGTTGCTCAAGTCAGCTAAGTCTTTATACGATGCAGCCATCAGATGTCTCAGAGCACTTCATCTACTAAGAATTGAAGAGCCTGCTATTTGAACATGATTATTGACTTCTCAGTTCGCTTTTCTTTTTGTTGAAGAAATATACATGCATATACAGTGTATTTGCTAAAGATATGCACACATACATATATACACATACGTGCATATACTGAGAAAAACTTTATATGTACTTCTGAAAGATGTTTGTCTATAGGGACCCTCAGGAAATACTTGTTCATTAGCTGCAATTCTCCTAATCCTAAATGTTTATTTGGAATATACTCTTCTTTTGTTATTTTGTTTTTTTAGCACTATGCATGCTTCAGTAAGGATTTGGAAGAAGTACTTTGGAACTCACATGAACATATCATCTTTTGCTATTTATTAAAGCAGCCACTTTTTTTTAAGAATTCTATCCAAACTTGACCAAAAATGCTTCTGTAGAAGGCTGAAAAAAATTGGGCTAGTGTAATGAGTGAGCAGAGGTGCTGACCTTGTTTAAGCATCAAAGCATTTTCATATTCATTTTGAAGTGTGCACAGGCTTAAAAACTACAGCTAAAACTAAATTAATGTCCTACCTTGAATTTCCTGGGCTATAAAATGTAGATGACATGAGAAGAAGAGCATTAAGGAGAGACTTCATAGAAGAGAAGCATATTCTCAGCTCTTAGTTGGAACTGTGATTTTCTGATAGTTTGTTCTATCTCTAAGTGCAAATTCTCCTGAACTTCTTGCTCCCACATTCATAGAAAACTGAACACAACTATACAGTTCTGGAAGGATTAAGTATTAGGTCTTACATTTTTATTATTGTAAGCTCTCTTTGTCCACTAGAGCCCTCCTATAATATTCACAGAGTGAAATTGGTATCAGGATGCTATAGTTTCTAAGCAAATACACTTCTGCATTGTTGCAATATCTGCAGCACTAAGAAGTAAATGACAAGAAAAAAACAGGGATTTCACGCAGTATCCCTCCATTTTTTCCTGACATTTACTTCTTTGCAACAGTGCAAAGAAAAAAATCACGCAATAATGATAGCTGCAAGCTGGGCAGCTGGAAAATTGCGCTTTGATCATTTTGGATCTATTACCTGAATATTGTGGAAATTCAAACTAGATTACATTTAAAAAATCAGATTAAATCTGTGAATCTGTCATTTGCTCCTTATTTATAAATTATGGTACTTTGGGATATGTTTCTGTGTTTTTAGGTATTTTGGTATCTGAAAATATAAGATTTAAAACTACACTTTAATTCTTTCCCCAACCTACTATAAATGTGTTCAGTTGCCTGTGGAAGTGATTTTTTTTTCCCCTTCTCTGTTTGCTTTTGTTTTATATTGATACCTTCAACATTCCATAGCCCAGGCTAATTTATAGACAGATACTGTTTGCTTGACTTTGGGTATTTTTTTTATTCTGTACTGTATGTCAAAGTAAGATCAGTCCATAGGAAACTTGGCCTTGAAAAGTACAAGGAAATTATATGTGAATCCAGATATTTCCTCAAGTTAGTGGTCATTTTTTAGCAACTCTGAATTAGTTTCCAATCAAAGAACCCTAGACAGCAATGTTTCCTTTGTTACAGTATAAGCATATTTAACTTATCTATATATTGTGAATTATATGCCCCTCAATTTCAAAAAACTCTTGAGATGCTTACAGATGATACAAAAATAGAAATAATTAAAAGGAAATAACTAAACCTAATAAGAATCACCACTGACACCAAGGAAAATAGTACTGGCAATAATGTTCACCATTGCAAGAAGGGAATTCCTGAGGATCAGTCCTCAAAGACTTTCCAGAACAGTCTGAGTTTGGCAGCTTTCCTGAACACAAAGAGTTGGTGCTTTTCCAAACATCTAGGTTCAGGGTCACTCTGTGATAAGAATAGGGGATTGTTTTTGTACCATTGTTGTGGGCTTTCCAAAGGCATGCTTTGGACAAAATGGAGTGGAATATATGAACATTTTAATCTACTCAGTGGCCTATATCTCCATATGAAGGGGACTGCATGATGCACAGTTGTCTTTTATAGGTTCTTTAGATTTTAGATGTGTTTTTTATCCCACTTTTATTATTTTTATAAGTCATTCAAAATGGTGGACCTACCTAATACTCCTTTCTCCTCCTATTTTCCTCACAACAACAGCTATGTGAGGTGAGCTAAGCTGAGAGAGACTGACTGGCCCAAAGCTACCAGTCAACTTTCAAGCCTTATTACCCCTTGAATTCTCAGGAGATATAAGGTGGTACATATTTCAATGTTTGTTACATTTCTGTGCATATCTCAAGCACTTACACTGAAATACAATATTGCCTACATTTAAAATTTCTCTGTAATTCTAGCTCTAAGACAGGATTTGGACTTTTGGTCATAGCTGTTTAGATTATACTTTTGGCCCAATGGGTCTGCTAAGCAAAACCCAATCAAATAAGTTTACAATGTTAAGAACTTAAAAATAATTTCCACACACAGGTCACTTTGATATTGAAAGTATTTTCTTTATTAAATACAAATGTGCTGAGTTAACTACATAATTGTCTTTTTTTCTGTAATAAGAAATAATTCATAAGAAAGGTTTTTTTTTGTTCAGTCTGATTTATTCTAAAATGCTGGAAGATGACTAAGGCTATTCTGGTGAGATCAGAATATTAAAATCAAAATTCCCATATTTGGGCAAAGATTTGGTCTGCGAGTTTTAGTTACTTTTTTATGAAGGTATTTAAAAATTTTGTTTCCCTTATGGAATTTATTATAGTCAAACCTTTTTATTACTCTGTATGTCCAATGACTTTAATGGGATGTTTTATCAGTTCTGAATTACATAGTTTCTTTTAACAAGAAGGAATATTTGTCTCCAGATTAAGAGTAAAAAAAATAGTTTTCTCTCTTTCTCTGCCACTCCATTGAAAGATATTAGTACTATTTGAATAAAGTTCTAAATACATGGATCTGTGTTGTTTTTGTCTATTATATGTGAGTATCAATTGTAATTGCTTGACAGCAGTGCTACTCTTTTATAGAAAAAAAATGGCTGGTACAGGTAGTCCTTGACATGCAATTATTCATTTGATGACTGTTCAAAATTACAACAGCACTGAAAAAAGTGACTATTTTTCACACATCCATTGCAGCATCCCCATGGTCACATGATCAAAATTTGGACACTTAGCAACTAGCATGTATTTATGATGTTGCAGTGTCCCAGGGTCATGCGATCACCCTTTATGACCTTTCTACAAGGAAAGTCAATGGGAAAGCCAGATTCACTTAACAACCATGATACTAATTTAACAATTATAGTGATTCACTTAGCTGTGGCAAGAAAGCTCATAAAATGGGGCAAAACTCACTTCACAATGTCTTGCTTAGCAACGGAAATTTTGTGCTCAATTGTGGACGTAGGTTGAAGAGTATTTATGCCATTTGTGTTTTTAAAAAGACATAAATCTGACAAAAAATAGCAACAATCAGAGACACATAAGAAAATAATAACAGAATAACATGGAAGGGACCTTGGAGGTCTTCTAGTCCAGGCAACAAGCCCTGTACAATTTCAAACAAATGGTTATTCAATCTCTTCTTAAAAACTTCCAGTATTGGAGCATCCACGACTTCTGAAGGCAATTCATTCCACTGAATAATTGTTCTAACTGTCAGGAAATCACTCCTTAGTTCTAGGTTGGTTCTCTTGATTAGTTTCCATCCATTGCTTCTTGTTCTGCCTTCTAGTGCTTTGGAGAATAAGCTTACCCACTTGTTTTTGTGGCAGTCCCTTAAATATTGGAACTCTGCTATCATGTCACTCCTAGTCTTTTTCATTAAACTAGACGTACCCAATTCCTGCAACTGTTCTTCATATGTTTTAGCCTCCAGCCCCTTAATCACCTTTGTTGCTCTTTTCTGCACTTTTTTCTAGCATTTCAACATAATTTTTTATATTGTGACCAAAACTGGATGCAGTTTTGTGATCTTACCAAGGTATTTTAAAGTGTTATTAAGACTTCACATGATCTTGATTCTATCTGCCTAGGACTACGTTAGCTTTTTTGGCAGCTGCAGAACACTACTGGCTCATATTTGAGTGACTGTCCACTAGCATTCCAATATCCCTCTCGCAGTAATCAATAATTACTAAATTATTAGTAACTGAGAGAGAGATCTTGGTAGTAACTACTTGGATTAATAATTTATATAGTTACTAATAATTTACTTACCTTAGGAAGATCTGCTTGTGACAAATACCAAGTACATTGTTAAACATCAAAGGGATACAAAAATGTGAATAGCTAAAGTAACTATTTGGTTTAACTGAAATTACGTTGGATTATTCCATAAACATGAATATTAATTCAAACCCGTTGCAACAAGTTTAGAGAAGGACAGCGGGGATAATGAGGGGACTAGGAATTAAAAATCCTGTAAAGAGAAATTGAAGGAGCTGACTATATTGAGCCTTGAGAAGATTGAGGATCAGAATAATATCCTTCAAGTATTTAAAAGGCCATTGCTCAGTTGGTTAATATTCTATATTGTTCCTAACAGTAGGGTACAAAATAATGGATTTTAGTTATTTGAAGGCAGGCTCTAATAGACTGCTAGGAAAAACTTTTCAGCAGTAAGAAGAGTTTGCTGTGAAATCAGTTCACCAATGAAATGGTGAACTCACCTTCACTGTATGAGTTCAGATGAAGGCTAAATAATTCTCTTCTGGGAATGCTTTAGTTAGGATTTCTGCACTGAGCAGGAGTTGGACTTGATGACCCAAATGGCCCTTTCCAATTCTTAAACATAAATCTGAAGAAATATTTACTATTTACACATACTCTGCAAAAATTAACACTATAGCAGGATTCAAGCATACATATAAGTAATCCTCCACTTATAACCACAATTGGGACCATAATTTCCATTGCTAAACAAGGTGGTTGTTAAATGAACTGCACATGATTTTACAATCTTTTTTATCGTGGTTGTTAAGCAAATCACGCAGTCGTTAAGCAAATCCAGCTTCCCTCATTGATTTTGCTGGTTGGAAGCTGGCAGGGAAATTGCAAATGGAAACCACATATCTCTGGGATGTTGCAACCACGTTGTAAATACATGCTAGTTGCCAAGCACCTGACTTCTGATCACATAACTGAGGGAAAGATTGCAAAGTGCTAGTTCAAGGTCATAAATCACTTTTTTCAATGCCATGTAACTTTGAATGGTCACTAATTGAATGGTTATAAATCAAGGACTACCTGTAGTGTTTTGTGTACAATAACTTCATCAAATAACATTACATGGAAGGATAGTGTTTTCTTTCTTGATAATTGTGGCAGGATCTCCAATTCACAAACAAGATCCAGAAAATTCTGCCTATGGCTCAGATCAAATCAGGCCAAATCAGTTTCTTTTCCACTTAACATTAAATGTAGCTTGCATCTATGCAGAAGAAGGCTGATTTAGAGATGCCTGTAACTGCCCGTAGCTGTAGCTGCACACCTACGCTGTGAAGGGGTTGATGGATAGGCTGCAGATGGCCACAGACAGGCTGATACAAACACCTTCAAAATCCAAACTGCGTGTTGTGTGGTTGTCCACGTCCTGTGTGCTGATTGGTTGATCTGGCTTCCTGTCCAGTGCTTTGCTGTTTGAGTGCTCCCCTAGCCAGAATGCTAAAATTTGCAGACCTGTGAGTGCAATAGCTATGCAACTATCTACGAACAAAGACGGATATATTCCCTCACATGCAATGCCTGAGAAATCTGCTCAACCCTTAAAGGCCATCACTGAAACCATCCATCATGGATTCCCTTGAAATGGAAGCTACTGTTACAGTGTTGTTGCCAGCAGTTGCTTGGCAACCAGGTGGGGGAGTTTTTGCTCACAGATCTTATCTTGCTATTGCATCATTATGTCCACAGAAGGGCTGGAGATAGATAACAGGTCACAATATCTAGAGCGTGGAGAGAACAGACAATTTCCCTGTAAGTTACAGCATTTTCTGGAAATGAAAACTGCTGTGGGGAAGGATTACTATTGACTCAATTGTGTAGGGATATTTTTTTTCAAATGTTTCTCATTTTCAAATGAAGGAAGTAACGAAAGCTTGCTATTTCTAGGGGGGGGAGAAGCAACTACACACAATATCAGAATTCAAGATCTTTTAAGTAACATATTTCCCAAATGTGAATGACCTTGTGGGGAAAAAAACCCAACTCTCATAGATTTCTTTTGTTGTTGTTAATAATTTTATTGCAGTTTTTAATAAACATAGTAAAAATGAATAAAAACTAAAGTAGAAAGGAAAAAAGCACAGGAAATGCAGGAAAAAAGAAATGAGAAAGAAAATAGAAAAGAAAAAGGCAAAAAAGGCAATAATAAAAATGTGACTTCTAACTTTTATCATACAGAGCATAAGTTAATATAGTAATTTTTCACCCTCTTTTAATGTGTGTGTGTGTGTGTGTGTGTGTGTGTGTGTGGTGAATGCTGACCAAACTCTCTGGATCGAGTTGAGTTTATTGTAAAGTTTCTTGTTTCTTGTAAATACAGGGGGAGAATGCAAGGTTTTCCTTGCTCAAGAGGGGTAAGGCAAAAGCTTACATAATGATCCTGTTTGCATGAGTCAAGCAGCCACATAGCAACATAATACCCCTATTTAGCAACCTGAATTTCCCTTTTCATTACTAGCCGTAATCCATCAAGCATTGGGTGATTCAGGAGTCAACTTCTCTGTTCTCATAAATGTTGGTTAAGGTTTCACTTCTGTTTTATGGATCTACTGAAGCTGTTCCTAGAATTAGGCTTCTTTGCACTAGGAGGTCAATGCTTTTTAACATGCTGAAGTCATTTTACTAGCCCAAGCTCCTTGTCAGGTTTTCTCCTTCATATGTTAGGCAGACCATTAACTATCATGCTCTGCAGGTAATAACAATAACAACAACAACAACAACAATAATAATAATAATAATAATAATAATAATAAAGTTGGAAGGGACCTTGGAGGTCATCTAGTCCAACCCCCTGCTCAGGCAGGAAACCCTACACCATTTCAGACAGATGGCTATCCAGTCTCTTCTTAAAAACTTCCAGTGTTGGAGCATTTACCGCTTCTGGAGGCAGGTTGTTCCATTGGTTAATTGTTCTAACTGTCAGGAAGTTTCTCCTTAGTTCTAGGTTGCTTCTCTCCTTGATTAGTTTCCATCTGTTGCTTCTTGTCCTGCCTTCAGGTGCTTTGGAGAAAAGCTTGATTCCCTCTTCTTTGTGGCAACCCCTGAGATATTGGAACATTGCTATCATGTTACCCCTCATCCTTCTCTTTATTAAACTAGACATACCCATTTTATTTTGGGGGGGAGAGATTAAATTATTAAAATGTACGACACCTAGGAAGGATTTATATTGCAATGTTTTATGCAGGTTGAAGGTTGAAAAGGCAGAAAGCCATACTGCCAATTTTCAGGAATTTTGCTCCTGGTTTTAGTAGCAAATAAGAGAAGCCATGAAAAATAATGTTGAAGGCTGCCTTCTTCCTTGTTAGAACTTGTTAATTTAAAACTAGTAATGAAACTCAGTGACTACTTTTTTAATTTTTGTTGTTATTATTGTTAAGAAAATGGAAAACAGCTTTTTATCTGAGACTATATCCCAGTTGCAGAAGGAATGGGATTGGTAAGTAGTCTTGCTCACTGTTTAACAATGGCTTCATCTTATTTATAAGCATAGTATTAGAAGGCTTCAAGTTCTCCAAGTCCCTTTACTAGTAGAGAGAAAATGGGTCTTAACAAAGGAAACTGACTTTACTGCAGTATCACTCCATTTATAGAATGTCCTCCCCAAAGGATGCCCACATTAATACCATTTCAATGCCAGGAGAAGACATTTCCTAAGCCTTTAAATCACATTTTAGACATTTTCTAATCATGATTGAATTTATGTTGTTTTAGATGACTGCCTTTTT